ATCATTAGCCAGGAGAAGCCTCCAACTTCCATCTCTCTAAAACTTCTTTTTAAATGACAACTGAAAATTAAAGGGGAAAATTGTTTTCTACAAGCAACCAGGCAGGAACTGACAGAACAGGTGTAGCAAAGATGTGACTGTCAGCACAATGCATTTACAATGGTTTCTGGGTCCCTAGCTCACCAACTCAAAATAGAAACTCAGACCTTGCAGGCACTCAGAGTTTACAGATTTCTTATTACAAAGGACAGGTAGACTTAATAATTGACATGAGCTTCTAGCCTTTATAGCTCTTGTGTCTACTTCCATTATTTCTTCTCCATTTCTTCTCCCAAGCATACAAAATATATATAGAAATAAAACTTCCTGTATAAATTCAATGTTTTGCAGTGAGAAGGATCCCTAAACAACAGTTAACTAGATCTTACATGTTGCTGGATCTAGAGCAATGAGCATCCCCCCCTTCATATGAAATCATTACAATGGCTGCAATATTCCCCAGTTTGATGGTCAAGTATATAATTTACATTAAGTTCTGGCAAACACTAATATGACCTCATCAAAGGCTGTTAATGAAATGTAGCTGTGCTCAAATGCACCACTGCTAGCCAACTATGAAAGTCTCGCCTGAAGAAAACTACAAATAATATCTCAAATGGAAAATGTAAAAAAACCTCTCAATAGTCTCTTCTAAACTAAGGGCACTCTTCAGAAAGATAAAAATGGCTTTTTGAGACTATTTCATTTTATATTCACCAATTATGGTCTTTAGCATTTCCAGCTGAAGCCTCAATTCAGGGACCAACCCAATACAGTCAAATCAGAAGGAATATATAGGTTGAATAAATTTTCCTTTACTTTTTGAGGTTTATTTTTAGATACAGGAGAGGAAAAAGTGATCACTTGTTAGAACAATGGAAGCATATACAGATCATATTGGAAGGAAGTCAGCCTAGAAACAGAGGTTTTAGATAAGCTACTACAAAATGAAAAAGGAAAAAAGAAATAAGCATAAACACCTGTTTAAATGTCTTGGAGCTGCATGAGCAGGAGGACGTGTGAAACAGGCATTTCTACTTGACCATAAAACTTGTGCTACTTTGAACAGTGTTACACTGAATTTTCTCAGGAGATACAACATGCCTATACACATACTGTTTTCTTCTAAAAATTAATCTGTCAGCAAGGTATGTCTTCAGTTGTGCAGCATTGTAAATTAGATCACTTACACCTATCATTAATGGGAACTCTTCAGAGCCGAGCCTCAGGAATCTGATTATAGTTACACATGGCCAGTGGTTGATAGATCAATGCAGGCAGGCAAAGAAAAGGACTACTGAGCGTAAGTATTTGAATCTTCTACTTTTTTAAAAAACACAGCTCTAATGGCACTGCCCATGTTAAACTCCCACAACTGCATCATTAATTTCCCTAGGATAATATGCTTCTGTGATTTTTAGAACAAAGAACAGCACAGCAATGAATCCTGCATGCCAATAAAACCAATGGGGTTTCACACAATTCATCAGCTTTGCCTTTAGTTAGAGAGTTTATTGATCATCTTAGAATACAAGGGCCACTATATCCTACACTGGTCTAACACTGGGAGCACATCAAACTGCCTGGTCATTTACGGGAGAGCTAATGGCACCTGCTTCTGCTCAACTGGCAGCAATCCTTTCTGCCCTTATACTCCTGCCAATATTTGTGTAAAAGCCAACTTAATACCCAAATAATTCATATCACCTTTGCATGAAATATGATCTAAACTTCAGACTCATGAAATTGAAAACACATTAGAACACAAAGTGAGACTGTGTTGATTCTTCTGTAAATCAGACCGACATTTTCCACATCAATCTTACATATAATCCCACATTATAAAATCCTCACAGTGATTTATTGACGCTTTACCAAAATCAGTAGTTGTTAGAAAATATTTTATATCAAAAAGGTAACAGAATTATTAGAGTAATATATAAAATGTTTCATCAATAACTGTACGAAGAAGAAGCAAGTTTTAGGATCTCCAAAATTCAGAAAGATTTAAGAATGCAGAAAGAATTCTGCCTCTTCAAAAGATTACAAGTTACTAAAAAACTGAGGCTACTAATAAAGGAGCAATGCACATACCAGGGCAAAGATCCCTTTAGAAACTACGTTGCTAGAGAAAAATCTGTACCTGTTTGGCACTCTGCATAATATATATCGCAATACTTCTGACCCAGTATGCAGAGCTCAAACTAAATATGACCTTGCTTGGAACAACAAAGTTAATGCACGATTCTCTCACTCTCAGGCAGCATTAAATGGAAATATGGCAATGATGAGAGAAGAATTTCTTGCAGGCAGGAGAGAAGTATCTGGGAACATTAATGTTCTGCAGTTGTAAATGAATGTTGTGTCAATGAATCATGCCTTGGTGCTGTGAGTAGGAAAAGACCACAGTGCTGAAAGCCTCTGAATGGCTCTGCTCAAAGGTTAACCATCCTGACCCTAGACAAGAAAAAAGCAACAACAAAGTGTTCCCTTTAGTTATCTTCACACTTGAAAAACAAATAATGAATTTTGTTTACAAAATGAAGCCATTATTTACTACTAACCATGCCAACTTTAGGAAAAATCTGAAGACATAGTCCATGGGCAGGATGGAAAATTCTAGAAGCTTTTTGAAAATTTTGTATTCAATTTTTGGCTGAGGTGCAAACCTATTGACTTATACTGCACAAATATTTGTTCTTAGTGAAAAACAAAGACTTGTCATTATTATAAAGTGGAGTAAGACTTCCCATCACGGAATGAAGGCCACTTCATAAGCACTTTGCGAACACTTCATATTGAAACAAGGGACTCCAGAGTTCAAGGGATATGTAGTTTATTTTAATTAGCTCCCATTTACAAACACTACTATAGAGATAGATATAGTTACAGTAAACTGCAGACAGAAGAAATCCTTCATGTGGCATTAACAGGGACTTATCATTTGTAAATTGTAATTTTCCTCTCGCAGACTCAGGAGAATTGAATTTTGTGCAACACTTGAATTCTGGTCAGTGCCTATATATACATAACCTTACAAGTGAACACTTATGTTACACACCAGTTATAAAAAGAGGTTTGAGCACAGCCACGCATGAGTTTAAGTCTGCCTGTTATCAGGTGCTTCCCATATACAAAGCAATTTTCCTTACACATGACTTGTAAGGAAAGACTTGTAAGTACAGGATTGCAGGTAGCCATCACATCGTAAAAACAAACATCCTCTGAAATGGTGTTACAAAAAATAAAAAAATTAAACCATTTATTAAACAAGTTCATGGTCTGGTAAATTTTTTTTTCAGTATACTTCCAAAACTTTCCTAAAGCCCAATCTCACCTTAATACTGGCAGGTTGACAGGGTCACAGATAAACTATGCTGCAGAAATACACCATGATAGCTCCATGCAAAGCTGACTTCACTTCTCTGTATCCCATTCCCTGAATCTGGCAGGAGGAAGGTTCATTAGCTAGCACTCAGTGAACACCATCAGGCCTGACCTGTCTATCTTGTATCCCAGGGGGACTTCTTTGATGAGGTGCCATTGGAATACAGCCCAGATGCTCCTGGCCCTGCACAGTAACAAAGCCCTACACGTGAGTTAATAAGCCCACCCAGAAACAAGAGGCAAGCAGGGTACCACGCAGGCTTTGAAGAAGTCAGCGATGGTCAAGGAGTAATAGAATCTATGTTTTTCCTTTATTAGATTATCCCAGCTTTTCACTATCCTCCTTATAGAGAATGCAAATTGTGATCTCCTTTAAGATATTAAGCAAATGTTCCTCAACATAACTAACTTAAGAAGTTCTCACCATGCAGGATCTCCCTTCCTCCTTTTCCACCAAGATTCAGGGTGGATGTTGGGGGTAGGTGCTGTTCCAGGTCACTGAAATGATCTAGATTAAAAAGCAAGAGCCTTGCGGGCCAAAATACATAATTCCTGTAGAGCCTGGCTCTACAGACAACTGGATGCAACTCAATGCAACTCAAAAGGTGAGAAGCTGCCACACCAGGGAGCAGCTGTCCAGAAGTGCCTTAAAATCACTGTGGAGCCAAAGAAAATGCATCACATAACAATGCCCTTAGCAGAACTCTACACTGCAGAAGCCTTTTAACACTTCTCAGTGTATGCAAATTTAACTGTTCACTTAAAGGAAGGATTTCACGTATTTTTCTTTAGTTGGTACTTCATCAGGAAACAATACACTTTTTTGTTTGTTTCCCTTATGAACATACCTTAGGGGTTTTTTTCTTTTTAGAGTTTGCCTCCTCCAGTTTATTAGAAACATCTCATTTGGCTTTCTAGTCTCTATTTCTAACTTATTTAGTGATAGGTTTTCAAGGCTTTGGAACAAAGAATAGAGATAGTCTGCTTCAACTTCGCAGAATGTAATTCTTTTCCCCAGCTGTTAATCTCAAAACTTTCTTTTTATGTCACATAGAAAAAACCCAGAAAAAATATACTTTATCTTTTACTAACCCTTTTAAACAAAGCTAGGTAATTTTGAAAGCATCCCTTAAATCAACAGATCCAGTACTAAGCTGAGGTATTTTGGTACTTGGTATTACAGTGACATGTAACACTCTTAGTTTATATGAGAATTAGCAATTTTTATTCTTTTTTTTTTTAGCATAATGTGAGTGACTGAAAACCTGAAAAGTCTCCAGTCTTGTTCTCTGAAGTAATATTTTCTTAGGGAAAATGGCCAATTAAACAGATGGAGATATGAACAGAGAAGTAAATCTCCAAGCAAAGTAACAGTTCTTGCAGGCAGTTAACCTCACTGGAATTCACTTTCTGGTATGTGGCAAAAAAAAAAAAAAAAAAAAAATATGCAGAATCTTGCCCACAGAAAGATTAGGAAACCATGACCACAAAGCTTCAAGATTTGGCCAGTGCAAGATTCCAAACTTCAGGATGAAAACTAAAACACTGAGAGAAAATTAAGAAATGACACATACCTTATCTAGTGGGACAAAGTCATTTTCAACTTCTATTGACCTTGGTCGTAGCTTTATAGGTTTGTCTTTGAAGATATCTCCAAAGCCAACACCCTTGACCTTTTTGGGTTGGATTGTCGTGCCTCCATTGGCTCCTTCTGATTTTGTGCTGCAAGAGTCACCACCATCGCTCTCAGAGCCCGTAGCATCTTTTAGGCCTATGAAATGGAGGGATGAAAGAACAAATCTTAGGTATGAAGCTCATTATTTTCAAAACAGATTGTGACTGGAAGATGATCCCTCCCACCATCCTCTGTAAAGGAAAACAAAACCAGAACAAGTAGAGAAGATGCTCTCTGTGCCATGTGCTCATTTTTGAGTTTAAAAAATAACTTAATTTTACCCCATTGGTGTACCACTTAGAACTTAGACCAATCCACAAAACATGCATCCTCCAGCATCAAAACTTCATGGCCATTCCTTGAGTACCAAGAAAATTCTTCTTCTTCAGACAAAAATTTTTTGGAAGAGAACTCAATAAATGAAAGAGTTAAGTTCAGCTGTAGAGCACCTATTGTATACAGCCACTTAAAGCTAACAAGCAGTCAGACCAGGCACACTGTACCTTAAACCTGTGACTCATATCAAGCCAATTATGGAATTAATATCTAAAGCTACATTACCTAACTGAGAAATATACAGCTGAAAGCTGTTCAAACAAATCTGCAATCAAATAAGCTGCATAATGTGTTCCCTGCTGAAAATTAAATCTCTCTGCAGCATAGACAGCCTCATAAGCACCCATGCACGCTATCCTCTAGGAATATAATAAATCAAAACTGACATCCTGATTTGCATTAGTTCTTTCAGTGAATAGGAAAATTTATCTTCACTTATCTGAAAATATCTGCTGTTTGAAAAGCAGAGAACACAGATGCAATATGGTGATGCTTCAGCCATTTTACAGAATGGTGCAGAATTAGGCCAAACAGTCACTGGCAGCAAAAGTGACCCACTGAGTTTGCTCCAATTGAAACAGTTCATTTAAATTTTCCTTCCTAGATTACATATTGACTTAACTATGTCTCCAGGAAACCCACAGCAATTGCTGCTACTACAGCACTAATTCTACCTAATAATAGCAAACTCAAATCCTCACATTGCCCTCATAAGCATTCATGGATCTTACAAGTCAAAGAAAGAAAATTCTCAAGTCAGCTTATCTTCTGAATTATTTTTATATCAGATCCACAAAATGATAGCAATGAATTTTCATCAGAAGAGGCTGCTAGCATAGATGATTCTTCTTTAAAATCTAGACACCTAAAATCAAGTAGAGATTGTATACAAATCTCTTTCTTTCATCCCTTTGGTAAACAAAGTAATATTACGCCAAAAGTTATGTATTTCTGGCCAAAAAAAAATGATACTAAGATGGGCAAAGTCTACTGGCTCCCTATAGAAGGCCTGCAGCTTCTGGAGCATTTGGGAAGTTTTATAAAATCTACATAATGCCTCAGTTTTTACAATTCTCTCATGCGTATTAGCAAGAGAAACAGAATGAAATTCTTCCTGAGCTGAAAGCGTCTGAAAATCATTTCCAGGCTACACTAGAACAACCCTTCAAAATCAAACAGAGCAATTAACCTGAAGAAAAAGTATTTTGAAATCAGTGAAAATCTTCATGAATAGAATTTTTAATGTTAACAGTTGAGTCCTTTGGTTTTGCCTCCTTGACTCAAGTGATATCCTTGGTTTTAACAGTCTCTATCCAAAAACTTTCTGAGCAGCAACTTGTTTGGGTGGGACTTCTTGTCTTCCTGGCAATTAATTGTTTAGAAACATGACTACCCAGTAAAACACAGCAGCTTCTTCAAGGGCTACTTTAAGCTTCTCCAGTGAACCACAGAAACCAATGCAAATCCTAAGGTCTAGAGGCACACCTTCAAGATCCAGGATGCAAAGGGCTCATCTGTCAAATTGGTTTCAACAGCAGGGTGCTGCTAGGAAAGGAAATCAGGAATTACGTATCCAGCCAGGGTACTTAGCAAAACTGTTAAGCAGAAAAGTCATTATATGCTGCTCTGAGATTTTCTGTATTTGAAATATGAAAGGAGTATAAATGTGGAATTAGAGAAAGTTCCCAATTAGAAACAAACAAAAAGACTAAAGATTAAGCAAAATGCTTACTCTCTCTGGCCTCCTCAGTGGCGGCCACATCTACCTATTGAACATAATTATGCAGAGGTCCTGATCTCTTTACTCGGCCTTTTTATTTTCCCAAGAAGGGCTATGGAGAAAAACTTCAAATCTGGTTTCACTTGTTTATTATGGTAGTTAGAATGGCAGTATTCCTGCCACCAGTAAGTTCTGTGTGTTGCTTCTCTTCCAGACCTCATGAAAGCAATAATTGGGAAATTCAAGCATTCAGTGCAACCCTGATCTGCTGTGGTTGGTAGCAGGAGAGCGGCTAACTGTAGTGAAGCCATTCCACAATGCACAGGCACTCAAAGTAAATAAACAATAAACTAAGCCAGAAAGGTATAAATCTCTTCAGGCAACACAGCAAAGGCACTGCCTCTTTCTTATTCCTACACTTTGTTGTGACTTAGGTAATAACAGAAGAAGCTACAAGTTCTACAAAGCTGGACCCTCCCCAGCTTTGCAAAATATCAGTTACTAGGGCCCTGGCTGAGACGGATGTTAGAACCAATTTTATTTACTACTTCTAAATGCAAAGAGAATGGTTACCAGTCAACTTTACGGACTTACTAATAATATTTCTGAGTTTAAAACATCCACAACTCAAAGAACTCAAATCACAGTTACCATCGTCTCTTTGCATCTTGATATGGGATGGGAAAATTACCCTCTAGCAAAGGCTCCTTCTTTCATCCTTGCCAAAATCTCCTTGACCTACTCTGTGATGGAGGGAAAATGCAGTGCAGAGACCTTCCTCCACAAGTAACTAGATTTTTACTGATAGAATGCATGACTGCTCTTAGCCTCTCCCTGAAATGAACAGAAAAGCTGTCTTTAAAATAAGCAATTAAAACAGATTTTCTGCATCACTAACTGTGGGAGAAGAGGACCTAGACCTTGGCTAGTGGATGCAAGTAATTACGGGAATAACTCAAGAGGTCTCACATGGACTTCCAGATCTTTGAAGCCTGCATGAAAGGAGCTCAGAAGCCTCAAGGGGCTTCAGTAAGAATTAGGCTTTTGTTTCTGGGTCATCACTTGTTTTTCATTATTGCATCTTCATCTTTTATGACCATTCTTCTGTAATGAGACATCACACCTTGTATCAGAAACCTGACCTCATGCTTACAACAGATTTCCCTAGCATCACCCATCTGTGCTTGATACAATCCAAAAGTAATTTCAGTCTCCATGCTGCCACAGAGCTTAGTCTCAGTATACAATCCTCATAATGAAAGCAACATAGAAAATAACTGCTGCTTTTTTTCCCTTTTTTTTTTTTTAATTACTTTTTAATTAGGACAGAATGGACTGAAGTGATGCCTGTCCAAACTAAACTGCATTTGAGTGGCTGGATACAGAGGCCAGCCTTATAAAGCCCCTTCAAACTTAAAAGAATTCTTCCTGATCAACTGGGAAAATGACATCATTTATTACTTTTTGACTGACACAAACTGAGGAGCCCTCTGGACTTAAATAGATAAATAAGAGTAAAAGCTCTGGCTTTTCCAAGAACTAGTCTGCTCTTGCTCTTACCATTTCATGGCTATGGGCAAGAGGCAAAGGTGATAGAAGAGAAGGACTATATGCACTGGAAACTAAGAACAAATTAGATAAAATTAAGATCTGTAGTAAGAAACAATAATGCAATCCCATTGCATTATACAGTAATGCAGTACAAAACAGTCCCTAGCCCTGCCTACACAAGGAAGGGATGGCTGACGGCTGAAGTGATCTCTGCTCTTAAAAACAGAAAAATGTCTCTCTTCCAACCACCCTCCATTTTTTTTCCCCCTTCAGCTTTTCATGGCCTTTTTTTGCCAATACTGCACTTAGTAGGAGAACAGAGCTGGTTGGATAGTTTTCCTAAAAGCCCAAGGATACAGCTGGGAACTAAGTAGGAACCTGAGTGACCTAGACTGTCAGATTATGAATTTTAAACATGAAATTTTCTTCTAGAAGAGCTATACTTAGCAGGTAGGTCAGGTTGCATTAAAACCTGAAAAGTATTTCAGTTGGCACAGTGATCTGCTGCTGCTGCCCAATACACCCACATAGTCTGAAACAGCTGCGGCAGAGCCATGAACTTGAGCTCTAAGGAAAGGCCAGCAGCGCAGCAAACCACTATACTCGGAAGCACTGAGCACATCTTGTTTTTATTCTAAGTCTAGTTATTTAATACTTCAAATATAGCCAGGATAGGATAAAAGCTACAGTAGTCATGCCTTGGTTTTGTTTTTTGTTTCTAACAGCAACTTTTCTAGGATCTGTAAGCTCTCTGTCAGCATTTGGAAAGCTGACAATCTAAGAGCATAACATCAACCAGGTGCTCACTAACATGCCTGCTATCACACCAGTCATAATAGCAGGAAAATTTTTCAGATTCTTAAGATTTCTTTTGGGGGTATCATTTTCCATTTCTGGCTCTATAAGCAAAGACACCGTTCTTTACCTAGATTTATTGCTGCTGAATCATCTATAGCACTACAAGGTAGAGCTCAAATTTGAGCACTGGTTGCACTTTTATAGTAAGCTCCTTGAAGTCTGAACAAGGGCAGCATAAGGAAAAAGAAACTAAAATTCCCAGGAGCTGACCATTCCCAACTTTTTGGCTGGGACAAGATATAGGACTACTGACACACAGCTACTTTAAAACAGTCAGAGCTCTAAGACACTCAGTTGCTTCATGCTCATTACAAAAGCAAGTTAATTTAGTATTCATGAGGATAAATGCTCACCACACTGTCTGAAGGAATTTTGCACTTCACGCACATTTTTTTCCTCTATGGGTATATAAGAGAGATTAGTTTTCTCAAGACATTTCAAACACACCACTCTCCTGCTATGCCAGCTACAGGTCTTTTGAGAGCAACACTGTGAAACATACCAAAACAGATTAGCTCAAACAGGGATTAGAAAGAGGCCCGCAACATCAGACTTAATTCACCAACAGCCCAGAGCTGTGCTGGCATCAAACCAAGATTCTAAATCAGAAAGATGTTTAGGGATGATAAAG